TTTTCATTTTTTTATGTAATTTAATTTGTTAATTTATTTAAAACGATTGATTTTTTAAAAATATATTTATATATTATTAGAATTATTATATATTTATACAACTTATTATGGGTTAGTTATATGTCAAAACAACATTAATAATTTGAGAATCCGTTCCAACTTCCATCTCAACAATTATTTTTCATATTGTAAATTAATTGACGCATTCGACGTAATTTAAGAAACAATTTTAAATTTTGAATGAATAAATTAATTTAGCATAAACCCCCTTGTGTTGCAAAAGCATGTATCAGATCTCCCTATATTACAAAAAACTTACATAAAATCCTCTATATAGTTAACGGTGTTAACTATTAACAGAATGGATTCTATGCAAGGAAAATGAAACACATGGGGGTTTTATGCAATAAAAAGAACACATGAAAATTTAAAAAGAACATATGAAAATTTGGCGCAAATTTATTTTCCTTAACACATGTGGTTTTACCCTGATTTTCTTTCTTCATACCGGTCAATCCATTTTGGAAAGTAGAAATGATTCGATCATTGTATTAATTTCGACTTATATGAGCTACGCAAAGTAGAAATGTTTCTTGATTCAATTTCTGAGTTATCATTTGCCTCTGTACACGGATTAGTCATAGAAGGAATGCATACACTGTTTTGATCGAGTTTATATATCGTTGCATTTGCTAAAGAAAGTGCTAATGTGTGATTCACATTAGCCATTGTAATCTTTTTCAGACACGAGAAAGAATAATAGAACGATTAAAAGGACTAATTTCGAGTCACTTTTGACAGCCATTGAAATCCTTTTCAGACACAAGAAATAATAAGATTGTGAGTTTCTTCATTGATTGAAGAAGTGTTTGCTACTGATTCTTTTGGCTGACCATTTCTGTATGTTCAAGTGAGGAAATTCTGAACACCGACAACAGAGACAACAACTTCGGGGAATCGAGCAAATACTTGAAACTGTTAGATAGCAGTTACGGCAATTGTATTGAGCCTATTGCATTTACCAGCCATGTGAAAATTGCAACTGCGCGATTCCCCACTGTCATAGAAAAATTAGCAAATACACTCTTGTGCTTATTTTTAGACAGCACCTGTTGGAAAAACAGATAAACAGTATTTTTCATTTAATATAATCAGAATGTTACAACTTAAATAGAAAACTAAGTAACAAATTTTATCCTAATTTTAAGGAACACTAATCCACTGCTAACAACTAACTAAGTATCCTACAATAACGGATACTATTTTGACTAATTATTGTTCTGCTTTGATATATTCTTTTGCGAAGGAACATATATCAAATTCCTCACATTGAGAACCAATGCCTCAAACACTGCAACTCGGGCGAACGCCAATTTTTCGAACGCCTCCGTCAATCTTCACCGATTGACACTCCATTAATTTTGAAAAAACGAACTTTTGGAACGCCTCTTTCCGCCAATCTTAATTGATTGACACTTCATCAATTTTGGACGAACGCAACTTTTCGAACGTCTCCCTCAGTCAATCTTCACTAATTGACAAAATGATTTCTTTTACTCAAGAAATCTATTCGCTGCTGCTAATATCATCACTTCTAATTCAAAGAAGTATTCATCAGCTACGGCTGATTTCAAAATTTTCATAGTCTCGTCAACCACTTCTGGCTCGAATCTTCCTAGAGGACTGAAATGCCGCCTGCTGCCTGCCACCTAAAGCTTTCAATCGTAATTCGCCGCCTCGAATCTTCTACCCTCCCCGCCGAATTTGCCAAACGTGTTGACCTTTGCCCGAGTGTCGCCTCGTCTGTATCGGATTTGGCCTAGGCTGCTTCGACGGTGTCACAAATGGGCTGATTCATCTTGCCCTCCCCTCGCAACAGCTGTTGAAAAATGAGAAGAACGCCTCATGATCCACCTCGATTTCTTCATCGGCCATCGTCATATTAATTGAAAACAAAGACTCGATCCCCAAGATTGTCACATGTGCCTTTGGTGCAACCATTCTGTTAATGGCATTCTTATGCATTAGATAATGAAACCCAATCCAAACATTGGCGAGAGCATCCGCTGCTGCTTCTACTACTTTCGTAGCCTCTGCCGGGGTAAGATCCGCTGCGCTTGGTGCAATGCACAGAGGCGCCGTCAGGATCAGTCATATTTGCTGCCTTCGCACGTCCATCGTCATTGTCGTGCGCCAACGTCAACTCCGCCATTTTTCTTTCAACGAGTCTGCGGAAACCCCATATTTGATGGCTGATAAGGTCACATCATAAACATCTTAATGTTGTTGCCGATTCAACATTGAATCTCGTCGAAATCCTACGCTGTTGGATCATCTACTAAATCATAAAATCTCTATTTGAGACTCTCTCTCTATGTACTTTCTTTATCTCTCTCGACCTTCAAAGACTGAGATCTCTTTGATCATGGCTTAAGTATTCAATGATCGAAGTATGAAAAGCTTCTGCCATTCCCAATACTCACTCACGAAGAATCTTTTTTTTTTCTTTTTTTTTTTTATAAACTCACTTCTCAATTCTCATGTCCTAGAGAAGATACGATAAAAAATATTACACAATAAATATAAAAGAGTTGGATCACAGGTCAGGATCCAAGCTCTGATACTATATTGGAAAACCGATAAACGGTATTTTTTATTTAATATAATCAGAATGTTACAACTTAAATAGAAAACTAAGTAACAAATTAGGAGAGTTGGTACCTAGTCTTTACCAATGGAGTAAAGGACTAAGATTCCAGTCCGCCCTCTCCTACTTCCCCTTGTAATGGACTTGAATTTACTCAAAAAAAAAAGGAATGTTACAACTTAAATAGAAAACTAAGTAACAAATTTTATCATAATTTGAAGGAACACTAACCCACTGCTAACAACTAACTAAGTATCCTACAATCACGATACTATTTTGACTAATTATTTTACTAAACTAATATTAATCATTTAATTAACTAAACAATAAATCTAATATTTTAACAGCACCCTCGACTCATTTATCTTTTTCCTGTTGACCAGCCATGAAAAAGAACAAAATATCCCGTGAACGTGTTTGCAAAAATAGAAGCCCAGCTCTTAAACAGGTAAGTCTAAAACTAAGCGACCAAATTGAATTTCTGAAAAACTGCAGAATGAGGTTAAACTGCAATTTTCAAAACTTAACTAAAGAAAAAGACAAAATGCACGTCACCCCTATAAATTTTCCATTTTCGCACTTCCCCCTAAAATTTAAAAAAGGATATTCCCTCTTCGAAATATTATTTTGTTTGCACTTTGCCCATAAGCCAATTTTTGGAGGTCAATTTTCGAATTTTTTTTTGTTTTTTGAAAAATACCGAATATTGGAATTTTGAGTAATTTAGAATAAAAATCATCGTCCCAAAATCGAACAATAATAACCTGAAATTACATATTTTATTTCAATTTCCACTCCTAGTGGGGAAAATGGCAAGGGGTGCAGGGGACCCACAGAACGAAACAGCATCCCATGAGATTACAGCTCTCCCTCTTCTCTTCATTTTTGTTTTGAAATTGTAAAACGACCCCAGAATTATCCTTTAATTACGAAAAACTGGACTTTTGAATTGTTGAGGTCCTTATCCTGAAATAAACTAGAGGTTGTTGGAAGGTGGGTTAAAAATTAAAATGCAAATAAAATAACTATTAGTTTCTAGTGGAGAGGGAATGAAAACTCAACTCAATCAACGCTTGTACTCTCAATTTTATTTCTTGTTTTCTCGGCTGATTTTCCTTAAACACAAAGTGACGGTGGACACTCCTATTTATACAAGGGATAGGAGAATTCTAGACTAAGGCCTCGTTTGCTTTTAACTATTAGGTTAGATTGACTAAATAATAGGAGTTAATAGGACGTTTGCTTGGTAAGATTCAAAATTCTTTCAGCCCGCTATTAAAATAAAAGCCCGCTACTAGATTCTATTATCTCAAAAAATTAATCGCAGCTTCCCCCCTCTGATTAATTTAGTAGATGCTGACTAGGAAGGGAAAAGACAAAATCACCCTCAAAATATTCTACAAATTACGCATCTCCTCTCGATTAAACCCTAAAAAAAATTCTGAACAATTACTCGGAGAACAGGCGGAAGAAAGAAGAACAGGCGGGAAGAAAAGCTTGAAGAGGCAAAACACGTATAACATTCCTATCAATTGTTGGTGAGTTTTTTAAGTAATGTTTGTTGCAACATATCTTATTAATTGGAAAGGAACTTTTTTTATTGCTTTTTGTTTTCGATTCAAAGAGCTGTTACAAACTAAATTGGATATAGACACAAGTATACATAATTAACGGAAACTAAATTTTGTGTATTTGCTTGTGTTATGTGAACGAGATAGATTAAATTGTATAAGGAAGTAATTTTCTTTTGATGTGTTTGAAAAATTTTATAGGGGAGTAGTTTTATGTAATTTTCTTTTGTGTACAAACAAATCAATAATTGATTGTTTTGTTTGTATAAAATTTGATGCTGGAAGGAAATTAAATATTATTTTGCAGTGTTTCAGAATTGTAGAACACTTTGGAGATTCTTCTCTTCTACAAATAACTCTATTTGGATGTTTTAGATTTGTTAATTGTTATTACATTGTCTCTGTACCAAATTTATGTGTGGAATACATAAGAAAGAAAGCAACAAGCTGCTAATATTACTTTTCCAATTTAATATTGTTGTTATTGTTAATATTGTAGTCACAAATTGCTTCCTGCTAATTCGTGTACAGCTTTCGCTAACACAATGGACATGCGTATGAAAGTGCAAATCATGGTCGTACTACACCAATATCTCTTTCGCACTACCATCTTCTTATTTTTTCTTGTATTATCCATAATCATACTTAAAGATGGTCGAACTCCAAGTAATATACGTAATAAACGAAGGAAGTATAGCATTATCGAAAAAATACCCGATCAAGTAAAAGAATTGCGGCTACTGGTTTTCACTAGTAACACACATTGCATTAACCAAACAAGAATGGATATAAATGCCTTCGTGAAGTTGTGTTACCTCTTGCAACATGTTGGTGGCCTCGAGCATTCTAGATTTGTATCTGTGCATGAACAAGTTGCCTTATTTCTTCAAGTACTAGCCCATCATAAAAAGAATCGAATAGTTTCATATGACTTTAAGAGATCCGGCCAAACTGTAAGCAAATACTTCAACAGAGTGCTTGCAACACTACTTAAATTGCATCCGACTTTACTTGTTACACCTGAACCAATTGGTGAGGCCGAGACAAATGAAAATTGGAAACATTTCAAGGTAATTAATTTTAATTTTTCTTTATATTTTATATCCTTGTATCACATTAAAAAATTATAGTGTGCCCAGTTTATGTAAGGGACAATGCCAAACTAAAATCTCATTTGTATATTTATGATAGGGTTGTCTTGGAGCTGTGGATGGAACATTTATAAAAGTGAGAGTTGAACTCAGTGAGAAGCCCAAGTATAGGTCAAGGAAAGGAGAAATTGCAGTTAATGTTCTTGGTGTATGCGATAGAAACTGCAATTTTATTTATATATTATCCGGATGGGAGGGCTCTGCTGCGGACAGCGGTGTTCTTCGTGATGCCGTTATGCGTCCGAATGGTTTTAAAGTACCATCGGGTATTATAAATTTGACACCCGTTATTGAAATTCATCCTAATAAATTATTCAAATAATTACCTAATAAAATTTCAAATCTAATTTTATTTTTCCTTGACTTTGTTTTTATCAGGTAATTATTATTTATGTGACGGTGGCTACATGAACACTACTGGATTCTTAACGCCATACAGGGGTATAAGATATCATTTGAAAGAATGGGGTGAAGGTAGAGCGGCACCTCAAAATCCTCAAGAATACTTTAATATGAAACATAGTAGAGCGAGGAACGTAATAGAGAAAGCTTTTGGATTACTGAAAACACGATGGGCTGCCTTACGAAGCAATACTTTCTACCCCAAGACTTAGACTTTCTAGATACACTAGAATATGACTAGACAAATACATTCATGTACATAAAATGGTTACGTACATGAACATATAATTCACACAATTTAATTATTGTTTTGACTCATTTATTCAAGTTTAATTTCCAACACGCCCCTTTAAACTTGATGCTCGCATTCCAAGACGATTCCTTAGCTTCTCGAATATTTCACTCCTTAGAGGCTTCGTAAAAATGTCTGCCAATTGATCCTCAGACTTCAAAAATTTTACTTGAACCTCTTTCTTTGCAATGCATTCCCTTATGAAATGAAAACGAGTCTCGATATGCTTACTTCGATAATGAAATACCGAATTCTTTGCTAAGGTAATTGCAGATTTGTTGTCGACATAAATGTCCGTTTATCAAATTGGTTGAAACCAAGTTCCATAAGCAAATTCCGCAGCCACAAAGCATGGCAAACACTTCAAGTTGCAGCAACATATTCACCTTTACGGGTCGATAATGTGACAATGGGCTGCTTCTTCAAAATCCACGTGAAAGCCGCTTCTCCAAAAAAGAAAACGCAATCCGTAGTACTTTTCCGGTCATCAACGTCTCCTGCCCAATCATTGTCGCTATATCCTACCAAATTCAAATTTCCAGAAGTAGGATAAAAAATTCCATGATCAAGAGTACCTTTGATGAAGCAGAGAATCCTTTTTGCCACTTTAAAATGATAAGTTGTTGGGTTCTCCATAAATCGACTAACAAGACCAATAGCATAAAGAACATCAGGTCTAGTGCAAGTCAAGTACCTAAACTTCTGATCAAACTTTTGAATAAAGTTGGATCGACCGGCTCTCCTCCAATATGCCTCGATAGCTTTTCACCAACATCGATTGGGGTACTCTTTGGTTCGCAATTTTCCATTTTGAATTTTTCAGAACTTCATTCCCGTAGCTTTCTTGAGAGATGAAAATTCCATCATCTTTTTGTTGCACTTCGATGCCAAGATAATAAGACATCAATCCGATGTCTGTCATCTCAAATTCCTCCCATTTATTTCTTAAAAGCATTAATCATCCCCTGATTGTTACCAGAAAAAATAAAATCATCAAGATAAAGACAAACAATTAAGATATCACCTTTCTCGTTTGTCTTGACGTAGAGTGCATGCTCGTGCGGGCATTTATTGAAGCCCTTCTTTCGAAAGTGTTCGTCAATGCGACTATTCTAAGCTCTCGGTGCTTGCTTCAATCCATACAACGCCTTCTTTAATTTTAAAACCTTATTCTCATGGCCTTTAGCAACATATCCTCCCGGTTGCTCGATGTACACCTCTTCGTCAAGATAACCATTAAAAAATGCAGACTTTACGTCCATTTGATAGATCCTCCATTTCTTTTGTGCCGCCAAAAAGAAATTGGAAACCTTATTGTCTCTAATCGAGCAACAGAGGCAAAGGCTTCTTCGTAGTCAATTCCTGCTCTTTGTGTGCACCCTTTGACCACAAGCCTTGCTTTATACCTCTCGATTTCTCCTTTGGAATTTTTCTTAATTTTGTAAACCCACTTTACACCAATGGGCTTGTGTTCCGGAGTCAAGGAAGTCAGTTCCCAAGTTTTATTCTTTTCGATGACGCCGATCTCCTCATTCATGGCGTTTCTCCATTTATCACTTTTAGATGCCTTCTCGAAATTTATCGGCTCGGTATTTACAAATAAGCAAAATAGATTTGGATTTTGGTTGAGCTCATAGATCTCCCGTTTCTCCATTTATCACTTTCACTGCTTGAACTTTCACTTTCCGACGAGGACTGGCTAGACGGAGATTGTGATGGTGGAGTCACCGGCTCCGTTAGCTTCTCCTCGGCTTCTTTATTGACTGCCTCAATCGGGTAGAAAGTGAATTGCTACTTTTCTTGAGAACTCCAATCCCAAGATTTTTTCTCGTTGAACACCACATTCTCGACTAGTCCTCCTTGTCTTCTCAATAGGATTATACAATTTATGACCTTTGATGCATGGCCATAGCTGATGAAGATAAACTTTTGACTTTTATCTTCAAGTTTGTTCCTATGCTGATCCAGAACATGCATGTGTGCGATACTCCCGAAAATTCTCAAGTGCGATATGCTTGGCTTGTATCCACTCCAAACTTCTTGCGGCATTTTATTTCCGACACTTGTAGTTGATTTGATAGATAGACGGCACAGTCAACAGCTTCGGTTCAAACCTCCTTTGGCAAATTCTTACTTTTCAACATGGACTGAACCATGTTCATTATGGATCGATTTTTCCTTTCCACGACGCCGTTCTGTTGTGGTGAATACGTAACGGTAAGTGGCCGGCGAATACCATACTCGTCACAAAATGCCTTGATATCTTTTGATGTGAACTCGCCACCACGATCGGTTCTCATTGCCTTGATCCGACACTCAATTTGATTCTCGACACGAGCTTTAAACTTCTTGAATGAAGAAAACACCTTGGATTTTCTTTTTGAGAAAGTATACCCATGTCTTGTGGCTGTAGTCATCAATGAATAGAAGAAAATATCTATTCATTCTAAACAAGGCAGGTTCGATTGGTCCGCATACATCGGCTGGTCTATGTTTGGTAATCCCTTCACCATGCGCTTTGATGACATCAACTTTAATCCGTCAAAGTTGAGATGCCCGAGCCTCAAATGCCATAACCAAGACGGGTCTTCAAAACTTGATTTTAAGAACGTTACTTCGTCCTGGTTGACATTCATTATGAACATTCGGTTGTTCGTCATTTTGATATGCGCAACTGGGCTCCAGTCACTATTCATCAAGTATAGACGCCGGTGCTCCAAGTGCATTTTGTAGCCTTTTTCCAATAATTGGCCTATGCTCAAAATTCTCGCCGCCATGCTCGGAACATAATAAACATCAGAAATAAATTGATGTTCTCTTATTTTTCTGATAAAAGACAAGCCTTTTCTTTCTCTTCTTCGGGTCCATTTTGACACTCGTAGGAGTAGTGTCCAAGTCGATGGCAACTATAACACTCTGCATTTTTCTTATTTTGGTGTCGGTTGATGACTCCCCTGCCACGGCCTCTTGACGAATGGGGCTCGAACTTTGTTTCATTGTCATAAAATGTGGTGTAACCACCACGACCTCTACCACGGCCTCGACTGCGACCTCGTCCTCGTCCACGATCTCGGCCGCGACCACGCCAACTCTGGTTACTTACATCATCATCTTTCTTGATACCGAAACTTAATTTTGCTTGAAGAGCTTGGTCAATGGGCTCTTTCGATCTCCTCTTTATCTTTTCTTCGTGCACTTATAATTTTCCTGTTAACTCATCGACAGTCATGGTGTCGATATCGTTGGACTCCTCGACGGCCACAACAACGTGATCGCACTTTGGATCGATCGATCGGAGAATTTTCTCGACGAGACGGTTGTCCGACATGGTTTCACCATTCGTTTGAAGTTGATTTACCACCACATGAACTCTTTATACATAGTCAAAAACTGACTCTCTATCCTTCACTTGCAAGGATTTGAACTATCTTCTAAGATTTTGGAGACGAACTTTCTTCACCTTATCGATTCCTTTAAACGTAATTTGGAGGGTATCCCACGCCCTTTTTGCGGTAGTGGCTTGTGCTATCTTCTCAAAGATATAGTCGGCAACACTAAGTTGGATGCGTGAAAGGGCCTTTTGATCTTTCACTCGAGCATCTTTTACGGCTTTTTTTTTAGCTTGGCTAAGTGCAGCGAAACCTTCTGGTTCAACGTATTCTTCTTCAATAGCATCCCACACATCTTGTCCACCAAGATATGCCTTCATTTTCATGCTCCACCTCTCGTAGTTGTTCTTCGTGAGTTTTGGAAATGGCATGGCTCCACTCATATTTGCCATTTAAACCACGGCTCTAGACCAGTTTGTTGAAGGTGGGCTAAAATGCAAATAAAAGAACTATTAGTTTCTAGTGGGGAGGAGATGAAAACTCAACTCTATCAACACTTGTACTCTCAATTTTGTTTCTTGTTCTCTCGGCTGATTTTCTTACATAGAAAGTAATGGTGGACACTCCTATTTATACAAGGGATAGGAGAATTCTACAGTAATATAATAAATATTATATTTGACCAAGACTTAGGCTTTCTAGATACTCTAGAATATGATAGACAAATACATTCATGTACATAAAATAGTTACGTACATGAACTTATAATTCACACAATTTAATTATGGTTTTGACTCATTTATTCAAGTTTAATTTCCAACAGAGGTGTCTTTATTCACCGACAAAAGACTTAAAAAGTGAATTCTCCGATCCTACAGTCCCACTCTTGTCTTCATTCACGTCTTCGTTAACCTAAATGAATTTCAGTATTTTTTATTTTTTTGATTCCAATGAATTTCAGTATTTCACTATATATACTTATGGATATATTAAATATATGGTACATTTCACTATCAACTTATGTTTTTAGTTGAGATGGTCATTCAACATGGTATCAGAGGCATGCCAAATGAAAGGTACTGAGTTCGAATCTCAACGCCACCCATTTCAAATATTTCCAGTGCAAGATTTCAAATGCAATTCTTATGGACTTGAGAGGCCGTATTGGAGATATTAAATATATCTCCAATAAACGAGTAATTGTGGTGAATATTTCTTACATGAGTCTTTCCGGCACCATTCCACCACAACTAGGAAACCTTTCCTTCCTTGTTTCCCTCGATTTTAGTTTCAACCTTTTCAGTGGTGTTCTGCCTCAACAGTTGTCTTTTCTACACAGATTGAAGTTTATTTCTTTCAGAGTAAACAAGTTGAGTGGAGAGATTCCAACGTGGTTGTGTCTTTTAACTAAACTTGAGCATCTCTATCTACGGAATAATAGCTTAACCGGTTCCATTCCAGCTTCCCTATCTAACCTAACAAATCTACGGCTTCTTAGTTTTGCTTACAATCGTCTCTCAGGTCATATACCCGGAGTCTATATCTTTCATAGGAAATGAGTTGAGTGGTAGCCTTCCAAGTGACTTTTGCA